CCCAGCCACAGAGGCGAGAGCAGCAGTGGTGGGTGAAGTAGGGTCTGCAGCCAGAAGCAGGATTTGACCCCGCTTCCCCCCGCGGGATGAGGAGCCAGAGGAGATTCAAGCGGGCATCCGGAGCCAGGGAGCGCGTTGCGATAGCTGACCTGAGTCCTCCTCGGGTCAAAATTAAGGTGCTGCTTGGCAAAGCGACCATGTGGTAGGCTGCAGCCAGCACCAGCAGCTCAGCAGTTCTTCACCTGCTCCTTTCAGGGCCGTGAGGGACTGCCACAGCCCTCCCGGGATCGTGGCTGGGGGCTGTGAGGTGTGTTCTGGCCTCATGTGGACGTCCTGTTCATTTAATGGTTTACAAAACATGGTCCATGCCCTCCTTGCCCTCTCTGCTCATCTGGATAGGGTTGTGGTGTGGTGCCAACCTCACTTGCCACGTTATCGGGAGCGACACGGGTTGCCCGGGGCTGCTGGCGGAGGAGGGAGGTGGGGCAACAGCCAAATCTCATGCAGGAGGGTAGAAAAGGGAGGGTGGGGGTGGAGGTGGTGGCCACCTGGCAGCTTCATCACCCAGGAGAGCTGATTTGTTTTCTTCTCCTGTCCTCTATGAGCGCTGATTTCTCCTGTAACCAAGCAATCACCTCTCTTCGGGGGAAGGGGGATGAAAGGTTGGGTGGCTGCGATGGCTGCCTCTTGGGCAGCACAAGCCCCTCTGTCTGCCTGACCCAGCCGGGCAGGAGAGTGATGCTCCAGCCCAGAGCGGGTTCCATCAGCATCCTCTGGTTTCCATGGGGGACTTTTCCCCAGCCCCTCTGGTTTTCACCGGTGCGGGAAGCTCAAGCATATGCTGCTGCTGCAGCAAGCAGAAAATTGGCCGAGAGCCTGCTGTGCCCTGATCAGCCGGTCACGGCTCTAAACAAGATGCGAGAGCCTTGCGGCTACTTGGCTGTCATTAAAATGGTGTGGATGGAAGGAAAAGTCTAATTGACTGAACAACAGCCTGTGCCATGTAATTAAACTAATTGTGGCTCTACCTGCATAGGTCAGAAGTGATTTGCGTGGCTGTTAAAGCACTGACAAATAAGAGGTGGGGAGGTGTGAAAGTATTTCTTACATGCGTTTCCACAGGTAATTTTGCTGTTTCATTTCAAGCAATTTTATGCCCTTGAAATTTTTCGTTTCTGTCAAATTTGAGGAGGCTGTTAATATTTCACACTGAAGCAGGGGAAAGCAAAAAGGTCACCGTTGTTAGCAGTTTCAGGCGGCAGCGTTTCAAGTGGAGGTAATACTTTTTCAGGGCTATTTTCTTATTTGAAGTGAAATTCCTCAAAAAAGGGAGGGGAAGGACTGTTTTCCTGTATGCGTTTCAGCCTGGCTCTGCACCCGCTGGGGAGCACGCAATTATTTTCATTGACTTGAGCAGCAGAAGACCAGGCCTTCTGCTGAAAACTCGGTGAAACTCGGGTCACTACTTTACTGCCAGGGATTTATGACCCTAGCTTTTAGTGATTGTTTTGAAAGTCTTGGATTCAGAATATGGTGTATTTAGAAGTCCAATGAGAGACCTGCTATAGTGTCATGTTTAAACTCTTTGACCTTGTTTTCAAGTCCTTGCGAAGCAGAGCCCACGTCCAGCTTGTAGCTCTGCTCTTATTGATTGTAATTTCGAGTCCTTCAGGCGTTTTGCTGTGCCCAAAGCATCGTGTGCTTTTCAGAACAAATAATGTGACATG